GAACCCACCCATGTGACCCGCGTGCAGTTTGATTTTTTGCCCTGACAGTAAGACAAATAGACAGGTTTTAGGATGATGCCAATAGCTAGCCCCACATGCCCTAAAATAGGCCAGCACCTGATTCCACCTAGTCGCGTGACACAAAGAAAATTGTGGAAATAACAATAGATCTAGATCCATGACCGTCTCCTCCTAATGTTTTGTTTTACGTTGTTTTGTTTTTTATTTGATTAGTTTTGTTTTTCATTTTACCATCTTCAAGGTCTAAGTTTTTTAAAAATATAGCTCCCCGCGCCTCCTTTAAAAACTTAGCCGTAAACCCACTAGGCTATAAAATAAAACAAAAGATAGGCGCCAAGGGAATAACGAGGCACCTCGACCTATGAATGGGGAACTACCTCCTGCCTCGTGTACACTTTCTTCTAACCACGTTCAGCCTACTCCTTAACCAATCAGCTCCGCCGATACTCCTTCAACGATATTAGACCCAAAAAGTAGAAGCCGGAAAAAGAAAAGGGAATTAACCGTGATGCAATAAAGATGCCAAGCCATGAAGAGGTTCAGAGGCCACCTCAAAAGTTCTGCTCATTTTTAATAATTTATATTGTTTCGTCTCGGTTTCTGTTCTTTTTTTTTTTTGCTTTGTTTCTTCTTTGTTTTGTTTTGTTGGATTGTTTTTGTTTTTCGATTCAAAAAATGTTTTTTTTAAAAGTTCTTTGGCTGTGTTTATATAAAATAAAATGAGTCTCGAGAGGGGAGATTACTCTGAGATAACAGCACTGTCTCGCGTCTAGATTTGCATCCCTTCTAACTTCTAAGCAACGAGATCAGTGGCAGACCAGTTCTTGTCAACCTTGGCATTACATATTTTGGTTATTTGGGTTCACCCTGAGATCCACTTGGCTGAAAAATGGGGGAAGTTGTATAGACTTAACACCCATAACAACATTATTAGTTTATTTAAGAGGCTGGACATCCGAGTTTCACGACTATTTCCTAAAGAACAGAGACATGTGGGTTGCGGCTATGAAAATAGTATGTGGCCAGAGTTGGTTTTGGTTATAAAACAGTTGACAAGCTCTTAGTTAGATATCTTACCAATAAATTGTGTATACATGTATTGTGTGTGTGTGTGTGTGTGTGTGTGTGTGTGTGTGT